GGCTCGGATACTGTTCCCTGCCCTGCGCTGCGCTCGCCCGGCCGTCCACGTCCTTCCTGACCTGCCGGGCCCCAAACGCGCCGAGCCTTCAGCAGGGCCAGCAGCTGGGCCAGGGGGGCAGAGCGCCCCAGCCACGCGCCATCTCCGTGCATAAGGGTGCCCTGGTCCACAACCGTTGCCCCTACCTGTTACCACAATACAAACACTAGGTAGTCACAATAAAGCCCACTCGGGATGGTGAAGATCCCTTAGACCGTCCTCTGCCCCAGCAGGCCTGGTGCAGGGTTCACCAGAGCAGCCCCTCCCCCCAACTGTGCCGAGCATAAACATGCAAAATGTAGGCCTCTTGCCAAATATAGACCCAGTGATCACCAGACAGAAATGGTGCCTGAGAAGACAAGGTGCAAAACCCACCCAGAGAGGAACAGCAAGAGGGCAGGGGGCACACTTCATGAGACATCAGGGCAATCGACTAGTTACCTCCCGTACCTGTACACAAAAGCGCGGAGCCTGGGAAACCAGCAGGAAGAATTGGAAGTCCTCGCACAGTCACAGCACTATGACGTGACTGGAATTACAGAGACTTGGTGGGAGCTCGCATGACGAGCACTGTCAGAGATGGGTACAAACTGTTCAGGAAGCACAGGCAGGGGAGAAGAGGAGGAGGAGGAGTTACACTTTATGTAAAAGAGCTGTATGATTGCTCAGAGCTTCAGTGTGAAGCTGGTGTGGTATATGGAATATACCTTTAAGGGGCCTGCAGTGAAATGTTCCAGTCTTTCCCCCGATGCCCTAATGGACGCTGGTATGCAACCTGTACTTGTTTGCATCCTTACTTTCTCCCCCTCTGATAGAAGTGGCAAGAATGTAGCCATGTGTCTTTTGGCACCTTTAAAGTTTCTACAACTTGTGAGAGGCATTCGAGGTTAGTCTAGGAGTTAGCACTGCTGTTGTAGCAGGGAGGGTACTACGCAAAAGCCTCTTCATCAGAAGTTGTGCTGGAGCATATTCAAGACCAGTAATGGGCGTGTTCCTCGGATTAAGTAAAGCGAGATATAGATCTGAGGTGTCCTGCAAAATCTTCTTCAACATTGATTTGATGGTATGAACCGTGCATTCAGCCTGACTGTAGATAACCCAGACTAGAATGGGTGATGGTTATGCACAAGTCAGTTGCAAATTGTTTCATCATGTTGCATGACTTGCAAATGGCATGTGATCACAAACAATTTCTTTAGGTATGTCATGGCAAGCAAATACAGACTTCATTTTGGCTATTACCATTGGCGACGCGTACATGTACACCCCCTGAGCATGGTGGTGCACCCCCTACAAAAAGGTGCTGCCAACACTGCCAGTGGCACCTGCAGGCAGTGGTTGTTCACCACCCTCTTCCCCTCACTGCTGACACCGCTGGTGGCATCTGCAGGTGGTCCGCGATTGCCACTAGCTGCCGCTGCTGGCGGCATCTGAGGGTGGTTGCCAACTGCTGGTCGGCACTTGCCACTCCTCTCCCCCACACTGCCAACGGTGCTGTGGCTGCCTGCAGGAGCTCCCCGCTTGCTGCCGCCATGCTCCTGCCGCCGCTGGTGCTGCCACTGCCTGTGGGAGCTAGTCATGCCCCCCCAGCCTCCAGGAGCACACAACATTCATGGCTATTACCATGCCAGCTGTCTTGTTGGGCAAGTGCAAAACTTCAGGGTACTTGGAGTAATAGTTGACTATTATCAAATAAGACTGTCCCTGTAGGTAAAAAATGTCTGCTGCCAGTTTTAGCCAAGGCAGATCTGGGATCTTGTGAGATCATGAGGCTCTTTCTGAATACTGGGTTGGAGCTTTTGACAAGGTGTGCAATTTGCAATCCATTGCTCGATGTGGGCATTCAGCTGAGGTCAATACATGATTTGCTGAGGTCGTGCTTTCAACCTTTGTATGCCTCAATGGGTTGAGTGAAGCAATGTCAATGTAACAAGGTCCCTGTTAGGAACCCTGTTACTTGGGGAAAATCCCGGACAGCTGGGGGAAGACTCCCCACCCCCGCATGGTCAGCCAATGGGAGACCATCTCCAGGAACAAAAGAAAGGGGAAGTCCCAAAGAAAATGCCTTTGGGCACCAGAAGAAGTAGCCAGGACCAACAAAATTCCGAAGAAAAGAGGAGGACTTACCAGAGACCTGGACGGACCCCGAGAAGGGGGAAGTTCTGAGGTACACAGCAGACCAGGGTGGCGGGGATTTCCCTCCTAGGAGCCTGGCTGGATCTGCAGTGGGGGGAAAAGGAGGAGCAGAGACGCCAGGCAGCGGATCCCTAAGGGAAGCGGCAGGGCAACGGCCAGAGCAATTATCTTGCCAGTAAACTGAGCAATGCCGGGGAATGCGGGGAGAGCAGTGGTGTCAGGTGGTGGATTCCTGAGGGAAGTGGCAGAGCAGTGACCAAAGACCATCTTGCCGGCAAACCCTGCAATGCTGGGGAGTGCGGGGAAAGCAGAGGCATCAGGCGGCAGATCCACTGGGACTTACAAGTAAAGAGGATCAGGTTTCCTCAGCGAGGGAAAGGGGCATTTCCAGGGCTGAAGCCCAGTGAGATTGGGGAAAACTGGGGCACAGGAAACTGATCATGAGGGGGAATAGTCCGAGGCTCTTCCCAGGTTTATGCACCCGCGAAGAGTAAAGAACGCGGAGAGTGCTTGCCGCTAATGAGGCAATGAGTGGTGATAAACAGAGACACGTGCAGGGAGGCTCCTTATTCTCTTCCTCCTTTAAGACTCAAGAGTAAATGAGCGGAGATCATGCCTAATTACTCCGTGCGGAGAGAGAAAGCCAGGGACGTCATCTACGTGATTAGGCGGTGTGGAACCAAAGCCGCCAGATGCACGGACTACTAACTAGACAATTAACCCCGTGAGACACCGGCCAACAGTTACCTGGAAGATTCTGCAGCCAGAGGTCTCCTCTTGAGCCCCAGGGTGATCCAGGGAGTAGCTCGAACTTGCTGCCGCCTCCAACCCAGGCCACTGTAAGGGAAAAGATAAAATGAAAAGAAATAAAATACCTGGAACAACGTAACGAGTCGGGAGTGGTCAATCTGTGGGTACCAATTAACATCTCATCAGTCTCTTTCCTCCCCTCCTAAGATCCAAGTCGTGGCAGGCGAGAACCAGAGGAACGGGTGGTACCCCGCTAACCCAGTAACAGTCAACATGTTGGTCCTCACACTGTGTGGAATGATTATTTTTGGCCTGATTATGAGCAAGTCATTCTCAGTCTGGATTTGGTCTCTGAGAGGCCAATAAGACTTCAGTTCAGGTCTAACTTGTTTTTGCCTGCTTGGCCATCCATTAAGATGCTGGGGTCTAAGGACATGTATTTCCATGTCCGACTTCATATACTCCTGTAACTACTGGAGCAACTGGCCACTGAGTCACTTGGTTTTAGTCAGATTGTGAACCACCTTTTCTGAGTGGACAAGATCAGGTTCAGGGCATAGGCGATGCATGTGGGAGCACAAGGTTCCCTGAGACTGTCCGCCACCGAAGCTGCCGCTGGCTTCTGCAGGCGGTTGCTGCCCACCTACCCCCTACTGCTAACATGGCTGCCTGCGGCAGTGGGCAGTCCTCACTCACCACTGCAAACAGCATGGATGGCAGCTGCGCACGATCCCTGCTTGCCACTCACCATCCCCTCACCCCCTTCGCTGCCAACGCTGCTGCAGCCGCATGCAGGCATTCCCTGCTCAGTCCACCCTTGTTGCCAATATCACTGCTGCCACCTGCGCACGGTCCCCATTCACCACTGTCATATCCCCACTGCAAAGACCACCTCTGCTGCCTGCGGGTGGTTGCCGAGTCCCCCCAGCTTGAGGAGGCATAAGTTGTTCATGGCTGCAGGGGGGGGGGGGGGGGGGGGGGGAGCATTGTGGCGCTGGAAAGTGTGTCAGCTACTAACATGTCTTTGCCTTTGGTATAGAGAATCTGGATGTCATATTTCTGGAGCTGTGACATCATCCTGTGTAGTCGTATTGGAGCCTTTCGTATGAGCTTCACAAAAATCGCTTCCAGGGGTTTGTGGGCCAGCTGGATCCTTACCTGAGTGCCATACACATGTCACTTGAACTTCATCATGGCAAAGATGATTGCCGGAAGATCTTTTTCAATCTGTGCATAATTTCTCTCAGATTATGTTAGAGCCCTCGAAGCATATGCAATTGGTTGCTTCTGCTGAAACAGACATGCTCCCAGGCCATCTTTGGATGTGTTGGCTTGGATTTTCAACTGCTCTGCTGTGTTAAAGTACTTGAGCACAGCTGCCGTTGTGATGATTTGCTTGAGCTTATCTCGTGCTTCCTGATGCTCAGGTCCCCATTGCCAGATACCATTGTTCCTGAGAAGTGCTCTGTGGGGGGCAGTAGGGGGCGCTCCTGCATTGAGCCACCCATTTCACTGCGCTCAACCACCCTTCCAGGCTACGAGTGCCTCCCTGGGGGCGCCTCACGTCTGGCCAACCCCCTTCCTGGAGCACATCCGCTAACCTGGGTGTTCCACTGCCACCACCCAGGGCTGGGCTTGATTCTGGCTCTGTGCACCCTGAGAAACACAGGCCTAGTAGCCCTCGAGGATATTTGATTCACTTCAAGAACTTGGGATGCTTCCCTCAGTCAGAAGCACAAGTAGTGGTCTCCCTTAGTCAGCTGAACCAAGGGGACCCCAAGGCATAATCTAGACCCACTCCCAATAAGTCTCCCACACAGGTACAAAGGAGAACTTTATTGGTTACAAGTGGTAGGG